AGCGAGAATCAAAGTTACGCCTTCTTTCTTTGCGTGAACATTTGGGCGGCGTTATGCAAATCTTCCCACACAGTGACGTAGACATGTAGGGGCGTGTTAGAACGAGCCGTATTGGGGGGGCGTGGTCGAGTCAACTTTTATAAAGAATATCTCTTTGGGTTTGAGACTTTAGTCTTTGCAACTTTAGGGATCTTATCTATGCACCAACAGCTTGTAACACTCCAAAGAGAAAGGAAAACTTGAAATCGCATCATATGACCCCTTTAAGGCAATAACGACTTGGTTGGTTGACAACCATCCAGAACACCAAAGCAACGCACTGCCAACCATATGACACATTAAAAAAAAACTAGTTTCAAGATGTTTAAATAGCTACAAATTTCCCTTTTAAAAGCTGTTGTTTTTTGTGTTTCTAGGCAGAATTGGATTTAAATTCCTCTGCTTGTCACATCAGTATCACTTCTCTATACCAAGAAAAGAAAGTTTCACTTCTAAATTCTCCTGAAATCTGCTTTGAGGTTCCCCTAAAACTCAATAGAATATATAAACAAGCTCATCTACTATATAAACAAGCATTTGATCTCGCTCTAGCATAGTAAAGCCTTATCTTACATGACAAAGTTCAATATGCACAAATCTGAAAGAGTTTCATCAATCATCATCTAGTTCGCTCTACTTATCATTCCAGAGATATGAAGGAGTAGTTATACATAAACACAACATGTCAAAGTGCAGGAGCGGAGAGGTAAAAGTATTCAAAATATCCGATAAAAAAAGCAATAAAATAAACCCCGCTGGCCTACACTCAAGCATCTGAGACGTGCTCACGTTTGTGTACAAAACGTGCCGGTACTCTTAAAGTAATAGTTTACCCTAAGATGAAATTTCGCTGAAAATGTCCTCACTCTCAGGCCAACCAAGATGTAGATGAGTTTGTTTCTTCATCAAATTTGGAGAAATGTAGCATTGCATCAGTCACTCACCAATGGATGCTCTGCAGTGAATGGGTGCTGTCAGAATGAGAGTCCAAACAGCTGATAATAACATCACAATAATCCACAAGTAATCCACACCACTCCAGCCCATCAGTTAATGTCTTGAGAAGACAAAAGCTGCATGTTTGGAAGAAATAAATCCATCATAAAGACGTTTTAACTTCAAACCGTTGCTTTCTGCTAAAATATCCAGTGTTCATAACACTTCCTTTAGCAAAACCATCGTCTGGTCTGAATCAGGAGAGAAATCTGCACAGATCAAGCACCGCTTACAAGCTAAAACAGTTAATATGGGTGGATTTAGATGTGAGAGGACAACAGGAGATGGAGGTTTTCACTGGAGGAAGCAATATTATGGATTATGGACCATAATAACTGGAAGCAACAGTTTAAAGTTAAAAATATCTTAATGATGGGTTTGTTTCTTTTGTCTTCTCCAGATGTTAACTGATGGACTGGAGTGCTGTGGATTACTTGTGGATTGACTGCTTCCCTTCCACTTAGTCACAAGATAAGCTATGGCACTCATAACTAGAACGTCAAGCTTTCTAACAGGAGATAATGCTACATTTAAAACTATTATTAAAGAGATCATAAATATACGGTCACGGCTACAGGGAGCTAGATTCAGAGCGGTGCAGGAGTAGTCATGAGGCTATTTAAAGAGCCGACTGACCTGTAACATGAGCATGAGCCATCAATTAGACATTTCACCTAAAGCACTGAGACGGATCGCTGAGCTTCCCAGGCTGAGGAATGAGAACGGGATCCGGGGGGTTTGAACAGGAGCCAATCACTGGTGCTCACTGGTAGAACTCGCATAATTATAATCAAACAGAACCGGAGCAACTATTCTATATGAAAACGCTTTTGCAAACTGCGTTCCATTAGCTGCAGGCCACAAACTGTCTGTTTCATGTGTAATTGAAGAAGGACAAATAAATCCACCAGTAAGGCTCAGCAAACACAAGGATTTACACTGAAAGCATTCAGCAGACACCATTAACCGGAGTGTTTAAAAAAAAAAAAGTGCTTAAATGTCACATACGAGACTGTTGTGATCAACAGATGTCAAGCAAGCACTTTAGTATGACATCTGCTAGAAAAATAAATTAATTCAACAAATTCACTCTCTTATATCTAGTACAAATAATTATATTACAGATATATAACAAAGCTTGAAGTCAGACCTTTGATTAAAATGAAATTATAAAATGGCAATATTTACCATGCATGTATTTCTAGCACATTTTTTACAAAAATTTTTTTTTTTTTTACAATAATTAAACAATTTTAACCAGATAACAAACCAAGTCAGTGGCTAGACTTGTAAAAAGTACAAATAATAATAATAATAATAATAATAAATAAACAAAATATATAACAATATATTATATATTATAATACAATATTTTGAATATATATATGTATGTATATTAATAATAACAATAATAGTCCTTGCAAGAAGTGTTATAAATTTAATTTAATTGTAAATAATGCATAAATGCTATGTGATACCAATATTTTTACTATGCATGCATGGCATATGTTTTTTCTTTACTACAGAAAAGTCCTATAGGCATCTTACATATCACCAGCAATTCAGATGTGTGAGGAATATCGAAAACAAAACTAACTTAACCCAGCTTACAAAGCCACATACAACATTCAGGAAGATCAAGGCACTTTATTACACAACGCCTGTGAATTCATTTAAAACGTGCATGTGCATGTGTGTGTGTGTGTGTGTGCATGTGTGTGTGTGTGTGTGTGTGTGTCTGTGTGTGTGTGTCTGTGTGTCTGTGTGTGTGTGTGTGTGTGTGTGTTTAGTATGGGTGGAGGATTTTACAGCCTGTAAAACATCCCAGCTGGTCAATACAGCCACATACAAACACATGGTCGGCAGAAACCAGACAAAAACCACGCTAAATCATGCGTATTTTGTTTATACAACAATCCGCCTAACGTAACCGCAAACACATTAAAGAATAATCAAGTTAAATAAACAGAAAATGAAATATGATCAAGATACTCACTGTGAAAGAATCAGCTGACACAACGAACGGTGACTCAGTAGAGCGCACTACTTCCGCATTCACTGGCGATGACTTATGCGCCAGCCAATCACGATAGAGCGTGTCCCTAGAGTTGGCCAATGGCGAGGCGGAATCCGCCGCGTACTAGAAGTCCAACAGCCAATGGAGAGCTACGGTTGCTCAAACAACAGGACGCCTGAATGCCGCGAGCACACCCACATGCGAACCAATCAGGGCGAGGCTGCGGCGGAGCGGGAGGGGGAGGTTTGAGCCAATAGAAAATCACAGCGCGGCACTAGGGGACCACGTGGTTCACGGCGCGTCGTGCCAGGCTTGGTTTTAAAGAGACGGAGCGCGAGTTATGTGAAACAAAAAGTTTAAAACAAGAACGTGTCGTGCCGACGACTAAATTAAATTGTAGAACATGTTTGAGAAATAGAAAATGTTTAAGTATTTCTAAATATCATATATTTTACATAGGTGAACTCAAGAATAAAACAAAATATGACACAATCATGGTACTGATTACTATATGTGACCCTGGAGCACAAAACCAGTCATAAGGGTCAATTTTTCGAAACTGAGATTTATGCATCAGCTGAAAGCTGAATAAATAAGCTCTCCATTGATGTATGGTGTGTTAGGATAGGACGATATTTGGTCGAGATACAACTATTTGAAAATCTGGAATCTGAGGGTGCAAAAAAATCTAAATATTGAGAAAATCATCTTTAAAGTTGTCCAAATGAAGTTCTTAGCAATGCATATTACTAATCAAAAATTAAGTTTTGATATATTTACGGTAGGAAATTTACAAAATATCTTCATGGAACATGATCTTTACTTAATATCCTAATGATTGTTGGCATAAAAGAAAAAAGGATAATTTTGACCCATACAATGTATTTTTGGCTATTGCTACAAATATACCCCAGCGACTTAAGACTGCTTTTGTGCTCCAGGCTCACATTTTTTAATTTTCTCAACTTCTTGTTTTCAGTTTATACAACAAAAAGTTGAGAAAACTCACAAATATCCTACAAAAACAATCTGGGAAAACTCAAAAACCTGCTGAAGCTGGTTGCCTTAAACTTTTAAGTTTTCTCGACTTTAGATTTTTGACAGTGTATATATTATATTAGTTATTATTTAAATTCAGTGGAATTCAAATGTAATGCACATGAATATGGCTCTGCATCAGAGATGCTGCTTATTTTAATTGCTTTGCAATGCAAGAATAATAAAACATGATGCTGTACACTTGTAGTTTGTCCTTCTGTTCTCTAGACAAGCCCAGCTGATCATTAACAGTGAGCAAACACATCAGAAGACAAGAGCTCATTGATTACCTGCCTCATTAACACAACGTTAAGACATGAAGTTCGGCTGATACAGTATCGTGCGGTTTACCTATCCTGATCTAACCTGGCTCACACGTCTTTATAGCTGTGCACGTAGAGCTTGGGCTATTTCTGCACTGGCTTTCGTCTTTAATCACAGATTGGCTGTCTGACATCAGCACTCAGCAGTCAGTGATGGTACACCTGCCCCGTCCAGGAGCCAGTGCTCCAAAAATCTTTACATACTTTATATTTTATATTCAGATGATCTTCATGTTCATCTGCACTGCAAAAAATGATGTTACTCAGAACTTTTGTCTTGTTTTCTAGTACAAACAATTTTTAAAATCAAGAGATATTTAATGAGATGCATAATGGCATAAGATATTAAGTCTTGCTTGCTGAAAAATTATTAAAAATGACGTGGGTTTGTACTTAACCCATTAAAAAAATGTCAGAAAAATCTTGCTTTCCCTTTTTTTTTTACCCCATTAGCAGATGTTCGTTCTTGTTTTAAGCATAACTTCACTTCATTTTGATAGATTTTTCAGAAAACAAGACTTCATATATTAAGTCACTTTGCATCTCAAGTAAATGTATCTTGATTTAAGGATGTTTAGATATTTTTACTGGAAATCAAGACACAAATATTGAGGCAGAAAATCATGTTCTGCAAAATATACAGAATATACAAAACATACAGAAAATATTCAGAATAATATATTGCTAACACGATATAAGGAATTGCAAAAAATATATGACAATATAGTTACTTATATATCGTAATGCATGTAATTTTATATTCAACAATACACTTCATAATATATAATTGTACATAAAAGTGATAAAATATCTGCAATATATAAATTACACACAATTATGAGGAAAATATTGTGATATATATATATATGGCTTTACCAAGACATCAAATTGTCCAAAACCCCTCAAATTTGAATATAACGTTTTAAGTATATACCACCACACATATTTTCATATATGAAATGCATAACTATGCAAACAATAAATTCAGATAAAAGTTTATGATTATATATTCAGGTTTATGTAAACCCAACAACTCAAGAAAGTGAAATTAATTAATTGAGTGGTTTAATAAAGCTATTATGTAAAAATGTAATGCAGTTTTTGTCTTCATTGATATGATAGATGGTCCATGCATATATTGCAGTATGTTGAAAAATATAAGCACTAGTTTCCCCAAAAAAAAAAAAAAAATGGAACCGTATAATATATTGCATTATATTTGCCAATATATTCCCATACATTTTGTTTTGTTGAGCTTTTAGATCAAGATGTTTTTAAGAAACATAGTTTCATTGAAGTGTAACTTGAATGTAGTGCAGAAGGCTGGCTGTTGATTGACAGACTGTAGCCCCGCCCACAGCTACTTAAATATCTCTGGGCTTGTTATCAGTCATATGGCTTCTCACCTGTTTTTCAAGCATTAGTGGTCATGACGAAATGATGGTGAACTGGGACAAAGGCAGTTCAGTCTTTCAGTGTCCTTACAGACGAGGTCAAAAAACAGAGACTTCCCATTCAGACAGTCTTCAACTGTTTCTATAAAGCAAAACTGTCAAAACAGCAAATTGTTGGCAATATTCTAGATAACAGTTCTGTTAGATGAGCTCAGGTTTCTTCATTTGCTTCATGTTATTTGTAATATCATATTACTGTCCAGTCAGATGATCATTTCTGAAGAACATGCTTTCCTAATTCGAGAAGCCTGCTTGCATGGGTTTTTGATGAAACTGCAGAGGGATTCAGTGTAAATCTCTTCTGTGTATTAAAAGGGCAATGACAAAAAAACATATTTTCATGTCAGAAACATGCAATGTCTGGTTAAGAGTTTCTAGAAGCTTCATCATGGTGAAATATGTAATGATATAGTGACTCCCTCTAGCGTACAAGTCAAAGTACTGCACAATCCCATAATAAATGTACATTTATTCTATGCATACTGTATGTCAGAGGTGTAAAGAGTACCTAAAAACCATACTTGAGTAAAAGTACAGATACCTTACAGTGAAAATTACTCCACTACACGTTACAAGTCACCAATTTCAAAACAACTTGAGTAAAAGTCTTAGAGCAGGGCTGTCCGAATTCGGTCCTGGAGGGCCGGTGTCCTGCAGAGTTTAGCTCCAACCCTAATTAAACACACTTGAACCAGCTAATCAAGCTCTTACCAGGCATAGAAACTTCCAGTCAGGTGTGTTGAGGCAAGTTGGAGCTAAACTCTGCAGGACACCGGCCCTCCAGGACCGAGTTTGGACAGCCCTGTCTTAGAGTATCTGATTTTAACAGTACTTAAGTATTTTACTTATACTAAATATAGGCTCAAAAAATGCACTAGTCAAAGAGACATGCCAGTGAAAAACTTTAATGTTGTGGAGAACCTGTTGAAAACAGGCAGAGGCAAGGATCTATGTGCAGGTATGTAATGGAAAAACTAGAACAAACAATAAGGCAAAAACCAAAGGGAACAAAGAACAGAATGACTGGCAAACAGACAACCATTAGGCCTACATTCAACAACTCACAAGGAACTAAACAAAAACTAGGGCTATATATACACACAGGGGGCTAACAAGCTGAACAAGATAAGACACACCCGAGGAGACTAATCAAGGGAAACCAATGAACAAACGGACTACAAACTGACTACAAACACCATGGGAGAGTGAGTGTGTGTGTGTGTGTGTGTGGGTGTGAGTGAGTGTGTGTGGGTGTGTGTGTGTGTGTGTACCTGGTATTCCCTACATTATGGGGTCCAAATGTCCCCACAAGTATAACACCACTAAATTTTAATCTTTTCTAAATTTGAGCCATTACGCCAATGGAGAGTCCCCGTAAACCACATATACAAGTGTGTGTGTGTGTGAGAGAGAGAGAGAGAGATGGTGTGTGTGTGCAGACGCTCTTTTGTCTGGACGAGACTAAAGGGGTGTTTAACCTGAGCTCCATAAAACAGGCCGTGTGTGTGTGTGAAGCTCTTCTGTCCATCAGACCCACCGACAACATCAACATGGTGAGTGTGTATACATACAAATATACATTTACAATATATATATACATACATTACAATTACACATTAAAGATATCGTCATATGAATTAAAAATACATTAGAAATCGGTACAGTTTCATATTAACATACGTATCCAGCTCACACATATGTATGTTTATGCATGTGTAATAACGTGTAATACATTTTTGGACATACACATACATGTATATTCATTCTAAATCCTGTCAATACATGTTGATATTATGTAAGTAAATATAAAAGATAAACATGTAAAAATTATTTGAGGATTTATACTTATATCTTCATCATTGCAGAGAACGTGCAAATATTATATCAAAATAATAAAATTATACATCGCCTTATAGGTAAAATATATGATAATATCATATAGGGCAATATATGTTATATATTACTTTTACATATGAGACTATAAATCCATGAACTGTATTTTCTTTCAATTACAGCTGTGATGCAGAAATGTTATATTCAGTTATATTAGCATTTTAGTAACAATAAAAATCTGTGCATATTGGCTGGTCAAAAGTCACGACTTTTCTGAGTGTTTTTCTAAGAACAAATGTTTTAACACATATTTATGATCTCTGTTCTCATTTTAGACTTCCTACACTGACAAAGGAGAGAAGGTAACATGACTTTATGATTTCAAAGTATTAAAAAAAATGTTAAAAGATGATTATCTTATTTCTAAATATTTATTATTTATAATGTGATGTAATAACTTTTTTTTCTTTAATTGATTTTTATTGTATATATA